AGAGAATCTAGTTTTTACATAATTCATATCCCAAGACTAAGCAGAAGTGTAAGAAATATTTTAAAGCAAGAATTATTAGTAAAATCAAGAAACTCAAGGATTGGGACCAGATTCTTTTCATTAAACAAAAAATCTGGCAAAACTTGCTTAATTCACCCCTTCATTAAGCATTATTTATTTTCTCATATAATCACAATTGACTCAGTAAAAATAACAAATATATATATATATATATATAAAGGAGTTAGTGGGTATCCACCTTACCTCCAAAGAATTAAGAGAAAAGAGGACAAAAATCACCTATACTTTAAAAAACATGGTAGTTTAGTCTTTTTCAATAAAAATTTATTGAAACGACATAGTTTTGGAATGATTTTTCTCCTAATCTTTAAGAGGTAAGGCTGATAGGCACTATTTTCATATATAAAAGCAAAATTAAGAAATTGAATTATTGCAACTTATGTTTTCCTAAGTTTTGTAGCCCAATTTGGCCCTAAGCTTATCGTTCAGGAACCATAAGATCCTAATTGAAACGAAGCTTGCCAATACATCCTGATTTGGTGATCCAGTGTCATAGGAGGCTTCTAAGGGTTAAAGGTGAGAAACGGAGAAGGGAAAGGAAGTGAAGAAGAGAAGGGGAAGATGAAGATAGAAGAGTCTAGAATGATATTTTTGTCTTTTCAATTAGTTTTAGTTTATTTTTAATTATTTTAATTTATTTATTTGATATAGTAAGTAGGTATAAAATGCCATGTCACGCTAAAAAAAGCCACGTGGCCTCCAGCTCAACAGTTGATCCCACTCAACCAGAGCACCATTAATTTTTAACAGATTGATGATGTCATCACATAGGTAAGGGCAAAAGCACACATATTGCCCTTCAACTTTTCGAATGTGTGGAATTTTACCTTTTACCTTACAATATGTGATTTTATACCCTCATGATATTTGGGTTTACGATTTTATACCCTCTTGATATTTGAATTTATGATGTTATACTCTCCTAAAGTTGTAAGGTGAGAGATAAAGTTTCACAAACTCGAATACTAGGAAGGTCTAAAATCATATCAAAAAAGTATAAAGTTACAAATTATGACGTGAGGGATAAAATTCCACACACTAAAAAAGTTGAAGGGCAATCTATGGGGTTTTGCCCATAGGTAAGGGTTTCTTTGCCACTGTTATCTAGTTTAAGGGGTTGTTTGCCACTGATTTAGGTTGAGGCACTTATTTGCCACTACTTGATAAGTTTAACTTTAAGGGCTTATTTGCATGATTTGGCTAGTTATTTCCCAAGCCCCTATTACTTTTGGACAAAGAAATAGAATTCGAATTTTGGTCCAAAAAACCCAAGCTGGGCCCAAACCCAAGAAGGTGTTTTCCACCAAATAAGGAACCCCCACAAATATCCATTCCTCTGCGAACATTATCCAAGCCATTCTGCCTCAACACCAAAATTTTCCTACCATGAGATGCATCCATTTTCCCTCTACCTTGCATTCATGCCTCAAACACAACCAGGATTTGAAAGCAAGAGATTGGCGTTGGCTCTATAGAAATGAAGCCATGAGGCTTGATGTTATGCATAGAACAAAGGTTCCTTTATTCGTGCACTTGAGGACTAAAGCCATCCCCAATTCTGTAGTCAATGGGGTTACTTCTCCAGCCAAGTCTGGTGATATTACAGTCCTCATCCAAACAAGGTATGTTCAATTTCTTTCCTTAGGCATTCTAAGTTGAATTTGAAATAAAAGAGCCTTCTCTCCTTGCAGAGTACCATCTTTTATCAAGCGAGCCATCATCAATACGATTCCTGAAAGTGATAAAAAGTTCCATTGTCAAAGAAGGAAATTCAACTAATAAATATTAATAGAAAACCAAAAACTCAAGAAAAAAAAAAAAGCATAAGGACAGTCAAGAAGCAAAATAAGCATAATAGCACATAATACCAAAACCTCTTTCTGCATCTATTTCATGAAATATTCCAGGAAAATTTGAAAACCACAAACTTAAGATTTTGTTTAAAAAAAAATTGATATTTTTTCACTTAAATCAATGAATTTTTAATGCCGACTAAATGTTTAAATTTCTAGGAATCATCGTGTTGCTGGTACTTCCGTA